CTCTCTCCTAATTTCTTTCCGAGACTTCTGTCTGTGAGGGGTCTTACTCGCAACATCTACTGGTAGATGGTTACATGGCAGCAACAGGTTTCTGTGTAGAATTCGTGTTCCACCAGGACCTGTCTCAGGTTTGACCTCATAGACTGGGCTGTCCTCACCTTTACGACTAATCACCACATGAATTCGGTCTTCCCAGTGCAAGCAAAGTTTACCTGGGCCGCCCCGTTCGCTTAAATTCCGCACAAGCACTCTATCCCCGGGGTGCAACACTGAACTTCGGACATGATGATCATAGCGTTGTTTGGCTCTGTCGCTCCCTTCATTTGCCCGTTTGCTTGCTAGTTCATAAGCCTCTGACATCGCCTTCTGCCACTGCGCTGCATATTGAGTATGGCTGCCTTGGTTACCTGTCCTGTCAATGCCAAAGATCAGGTCGATTGGCAGACGAGGGTGGCGGCCAAATAGCAGATAAAAAGGAGAGAAACCAGTAGCCTCGTTCTTCGTGCAATTATATGCGTGTACGACTTGATTAAGGCTGCCCACCGTGATTTCTGTGTCTCTGGTAGGGTGCGGAGCATATTCAACAAAGTGCGGTTGAATCGTTCAACTTGTCCGTTCCCTTCTGAATGATAAGGGTGGTGCAGGAGTGTCCCACGCCGCACAACTTCTCTAGCTCTCGGTGAAGGCGATTTTCGAACTCTCCTCCCTGGTCATGGTGAATCTTTAAAGGAAAGCCGAATCGAAGGACGAAATCATTTTAAAGCTTCTGAGCGACTGTTCTGGGTGACTTGTTCTTTGTAGCATAAGCTTGCGCATAGCGAGTAAAGTGGTCCATCACAACAAGAATATATTCGTACCCTCCACTGCTCTTCTCCAGATGGAGAAAGTCGATAGCAATCAGTTCGAACGGTGCAGTAGTGGTGATGGGTTGTAATGGAGCCCTGATCTTGAGAGTCGGACACAACAACACATTGATAGACATGGCCAATATAGTGGTCAATGTCTCTCTGCATGTGTGACCAATAGAAGCGCTCTCTGGCTAGGTGTAAAGTGCGATCCGCTCCGAGATGACCCATTTTCTCATGCAACTCCTTAAGAATCAGTGAGCGCAGTTTTTTTGGAATGATGATTTGAGTACGACTTCTTGTGCACCGTTGTAGTATCCCATCCTTGTCAACTGACAGGCTATTCCATTCATGAAGGAGCAGCTGCACATCCCTTGGCTCTTTCTTTCTCTCGGCTGCCGTTGGGCGCAATCCACACTGAATCAACTCTCTTACTCGATTGATGACTGGATCCTCAGTTTGTGGTTGTTTTACGTCAAGTTGCGGTACACTAGGTTTTCCTCCATCAGACATATCTGATTCGAGTGCAGCAGGGTCTCCTGAAAGAGCTGAGATCCAATTCACTGTTCCTTCCTCTTGAAGCTTTGCAGAACACACGACAGTCTGGAGGACTTCATGCGGTATGATCTCTGTGAACGACTCCATATAAGCAATATCATCAAGCGCCATTCGCGACAATGTATCAGCATCAATGTTCGCTTTTCCCGGTCGGTAGTGAATTGTGAAATTAAAATCAGCCAAGTCACCTATCCAGCGGAGGCCTGTCGCGTTAAGTTTAGCCAAGGACAGGACATAAGTAAGCGGATTATTATCTGTGTACACTTTGAAGCTTGGGGCGTAATAAAGGTAATCTCTAAACTGGTCACAGATGGCCCACTTTAGTGCGAGGAACTCCAACTTTCCAGAATGTAAGTGGTAATTCTTCTCGGCAGGAGTCAAAGTGCGTGACCCATAAGCAACAACGCGAAGGATATCATTTTGGTGTTGGTACAGCACAGCACCAAGCCCATCTTTAGAGGCATCTGTATGAAGGACAAACGGTTTCTCAAAGTTTGGGTAGGCCATGACTGGAGCACACGTCAGACAATCAATAAGTTTATCTAGTGCGGATTGGTGAGAACTGGTCCAGACAACCGGGTGCCTTGGCGGTAACTGTGAAGGGTTCTTCTTGCCTTGCCTTGGTTTTTCTCTCATGGACTCTTCAGAAGGGGGATCTGTTATCTTGATTAAATCATAGATTGGTTTTGCAATTTTTGAGAAGTTCTTTATATATCGACGGTAGTAGTTTAAGAACCCCATTAGTTTGCGCACTTCATTAACTGTCTTGGGAGATGATTCCTTGAGAGAAAGCACTGGCTTGATACTGGAGGGGTCTAGCTTGTAGCCCTCCTCAGACACCACGCGTCCAAGAAATACAACTTTTTTGAACAGTTTACACTTCCGCGGTTTGAGTTTAACTCCATGCTCTCGCAGTCGACGCAGGACTTTGCGTGTATGTTCAACATGTTCGTCAAAGGACGCACTGAATATGATTATATCGTCCAGATAGGGTATACAAACAGTATCCCGTAAGTCTCCTAGACAGTTCTCCATAAATCGTTGGAAAGCCCCTGGGGCTCAGGAGAGTCCGAATGGGATCCTCACCCATTCGTAGAGACCCCATGGAGTGATAAATGCTGTATAAGGCTGACTTTTAGCGCTCATGAATCCTTGATGGTAAGCTTTGCCCTGGTCTAGTACTGAAAACCAAGAGTTCCCACCGAGATTATCTAAAGTCTCTTGTATCCTCGGTATCGGATGGCGATCAGGTCGCGTTTTCTTGTTCAGTGCTCTGTAATCCACGCATAGCCGCAAACTTTGGTCCTTCTTTCTGACCCAAACAACCGGTGAACTGTAAGACGAGGAGGACTTTCGGATGAAATCACGATTTAACAAATCTTCAATATAAGCCTTTACCTCTGGGTATAGTGGTTTTGGCACTGCCACATAGTTCTTCTGAACAGGGGTTTGATCCTCAAGATCCAAGTTTAACTCAAGGTCTCTAGTACAGCCAACATCACTGTCATCCCTTGCAAATGACTCTGCTTCCTCGGTAAGTAATTTAAGTGCCACTTCCTTCTGATGAGCATTGAGACCACTTAGGTCTATGTCTTTTATGTGTGATGGAGTACTCAAAGGTTCTTCAGCATTTGGAGGTATAAGCGGTGGGCCTCCGGCGTTTCCAGTACATGTTGTAGCCTGATCGGCAACTTTTGCCTCTGTACTCTCTTCATCAGGTGTTTTCATGTTCCCATTAGAGTCCTTTAACCTAACTTCTACTGGTGTAACTGATTGTACAAGTTGTAGTCGCCTGAGTAAGGTTCGTCCCGGGAGTCTGATATCATGGTTGGTATTGTTAACAATGTCAATTTCCACTTTACTTGATTTCCCTTTCTTTACAGTCAACAAAGTCTCTGTAATCTCTAACCCGCTAGGCCATGGGTTAGACTCATCCGGTTCAAACAGTACTGGAGTAGTTCTCTCTACAGGCCCTGTGTTTGCTCTGCAAGTCACACTTTAACTTTGTCTGGGAGGTATAATAGTATCATGCTTCATGGTCTTGATCAAGCAGAGATCACTTTGATTACGGCTTTGGATAAAATTCACTAATGCTGAAGCATTCTTGCTATTTAACTCAGTAAAACTTGAAGTAATTTCTTGATGTAGCATAGCATCCTCACTACTGGTTTTAACAATCTCCTCAATCACGTTAAAGCCGATTGTTGGCGTGTCTAATGATTGGTCTGTAACAAGAAAGGGAACTGCCAATTCCTCCTTAGACGACAACAGTCTAAAGTTAAGCTCCACCCATCCTATGTATGGCATCTCACCACCATTGGCTGCAGTCAGGTTCAGTTCAGAATTTAACTCTGATATGTTCTTAATAGTGATCCCAGGGAAATTCCTTCTTACTAACTGGTCAGATATTAAGGACACCTGGGCCCCAGTGTCCCAAAGTACATCTACCTTTTGGCCATTGATCTCCCCCTTAACAGTACACCTCTTTCCTACCAATCCTACTACTGTGGCGTGCTGCTGTGGTGTTAGGTGACTGACAAAGGTGCTACTACTGGGATCCGCATTCTCTTGTTTTGCTTTGTTTGACAGGTACTCAATCGCATTACACAACACTTTGTGTTCCTGCCAGTGTTTCTTCTGACAATTCCGGCTACAATACTTCACGACCTTGCACTTTGAACATTGTAAGAACTTTGCCTTTTCTGACTGAACTTTCCGACAACCATTACATCGGAGGGACTTGTTACTACTGTTGTCGACTATTCCGCGTCCCGCCGGAATAGTCGTCGACCGTTTCCCTGTCGACTACCCCGGTTCTCGTTACGGTAACATTCCCGAGCCACATGCCCCGAGTCACCACAAGCAAAGCAATGATTACATTCATCTCCTCTTCCCCTCTGCTTGCAATTCTGACAACCCCAACTTGTACAGTTTGGTTGATAACCACGCCCATGGCCCCTGTAGGATGGCCCACGCCAGTTAGAATTTTCTACTTGGCTCCCTCGACGATTGACTTGATCCTTGAGATCATTTATCTCTGACTTGATCTGACGGATCTCTAGCAAAAGCTTCTGACCTCCATCTGTAGTTGCATTCTTAGCTCTTGCTTCTCTCTCGTCTTTGCCTACCTCACATGTATGAACTTTGGCAGACTTTTGGCGTTCACTAGCCAGCTTGGAACTCCTTTCTGCTTGTTGCGAGGCTAATTCATTCACCTGCCGCATGAGCTCTTCATCGGTGAGTCCCGAGGTGCGTAAGGTGGGTCTTAAAGTGCTACTGAAGCCAAAAATAATCTAGTGAAAAATAGCAATAAATTATTAGTTCAATATCTAATTGAAGTTTTGACGCTAGGAAAACGTTGTTTTCGGCATTTTTTTCCAACACAAACATGGCCAAATTGCGGCACAAAGGGCGTCAAGCAGATCCTTAATTAAATATGCATATGACGTCACATGGTTGACTCGTCGAGCGCGGCGAATTCACATTTCCAGTCAGATCACTGTGATGGCGAAGCGTGGAAGTGGAGGCAAGACTTGTGCGGCCGGTGCTCCGGATCAAATAAGTTGTACAAACAACTCTTATAGTCCTGGCATTTCGATGCACATATTCCCCAAAAATGAAAAAGTTAGGGCTCAATGGGTGAGGTTTGTGCGGACTCACAGGCCGGATTGGGAGCCCACCGAATACAGTTATCTGTGCTCATTGCACTTTAACGAGAGTTGTTTCACCCGCCTGAGGTTAAGCACCCTAATGCCTGCCGAAACAAGCGAGGAAAACGGCGAGAGCTCCGGACCAAGCAACAAGCGATTTCAGGAAAAACGTGTGTTAAGCAAAGGATCGGTGCCGACAATTCACTGCGCCAATAAAGCGCCAGAGAGGAAAGAACCAAGCGACCGCGATCGAAGGAGATCGAACGCGGTAAGTGTCCAATCCAGTTATTGTGTTTTCAATTTTCACAACAAGCCTGTTATGTTTGTCTTTGGTAGTTTCAGTGGTAGTTTTTGAGAAAAGCAAAGATCAAAAATAACGAAATATTTGATCAACTGAAGTGTATTTTTATCGAAATCATCGGGGAAATCCTCAACAACTCGGCCGGACTGAGGTGCTAAAAAATTACGAGTAAGACGAAACAAAAGGCCTTTCAGTGATCACTCGAACGTTCTTTGCAATGCCTAGCATTTGGAAGTGCTTTTACAAAGAGTAATATCTCCACTAAACTTGCTCCTTAATTATAAACAATTGCAGCATTTGCGGGAAATCGAGCGGGAAACCGAGCGTAAAGTGGAGCGCCAGGGGGCAGCAACTACAGTGCAATCATGCGAGGACCGTGAAGACGAGGAGGGAGAATTCAGCTACGATGGTGACTTGTCGGACTTGTCCGACCAAGACGACGTGCTTTCTTTTAGTCTTGACACCGAGGGGAGCGTGGCCTGCAATAGAGCTACCCAGGCAAAGCCTAAAATGAGATCCAGACAGTCACAGACTACACTTGGAGAGTGCCGAAAGTGCGCTGAGCGGAAAATGCAAGTAAGAGTCCTGCAGAAGCGAAACGGGAAATTACGCTCTCAGAAGAAAAAATGGAAAGAACAAGCCACACTAATAAATGTAAGTGCTATTTTTTATTTCTTATTCCTGGTACGTAAGATAGAAAGTAATTCTCAAATACCCCTCCCCAACCACCAAGTCATCCTCTCGTGCAAAACTGCAGTACCATGTGGAGGGTTTTTATCTTTTATTCAAAAGGTTTTTTTTAGTGACAGTTTTCTTTATCACAATTATGTGATAGTATGACTCAAGCAGCAGTAAAGAAGAATTAGAAGAGGAAGGAGAGGAAGAAGAGGACATGGAGGAGGTAGAGACAGAAGTGGAAAATATGGAATGTTTGGAAGACCCTGGACTGGAGGATACAGAGAATTTAACAGATGAAAAGGAAGACGATCCAGACTGGCATTGTCAGATGGAGGATAAGGGAGATGATGATATTGACGCCGACGATGAAGAGACGGAAAGTACACCGATGAACAATATCAGGCAAGATGTTATGATTTTTATTGGTCATTTGGTACTCATCCTTCCTTTTTCGTGCTCAAGAAGCTATAGCTTGTTTCATAATTCCATATCCCTTGCTCTTACATTTAACAATTATTATTACTGCCTAATTTATTGCAGTATTTGTATTTTTATAACATCCAAAAGTAAATTCTGCAAAATACTGGTCAATAATTTCAGGGCTGTTGCTAAGGAAAAGTCACCCTCCTGTAGGTCAACTCACATGATACTTTTTTGGGTGGAAATGTACAGAGAGGACTGCCGAGAGCCTAAAGTTGGCCTAATTAGTTAATCACTCCTTTTTTGTTTAAATGGCTCAATTTGCAAACTGTTTCAAATTATTTGAAATTACAAATGCCAAGTGCTAATCCCTATAACCAGTTAATTCTTCAGTCTCCTTTGCAGCTGGCATGTGTTTTTTGCTAAACTCTCCTGAGCATTGCATGATTAAATTTTGGCAGCTGTAAAATATTGTAGACTAGAAAATTAATTAACACGGCCTATATTTGGATTATATTTTGTAGTGTTGACGAAGACATCCCTTGCCAGAAGGAACCCAAATTTATTGTGTTCTATACAAGGCTACTGGCTATATTCTCGATTTTTTGTTTTAAATGCAAGAGTGAAGGGCCAGACGTCACCATGAAAAAGAATGGCACCATGGTAACAGTGATGCAGAATTGCAGAAATTGTGGTCCTAACTCATTTCTGTGGAGGTCACAGCCAATGGTGCTTGGGCGATACCCAGCAGGGAATATCCTGCTAAGCTTTGGAATTCTAATGGCAGGGGCAACTGTTAGTAAAGTGCTCCTGGTTCTAAAACACATGGGCATTTCTGTATACAATGCACGTACTTACTTTGTCCACCAGAGCAAGTTTTTATTCCCAGCCATTCTGACCTACTGGGAACGATACAGGTCCAAACTGGTGAATCAGATTAAAGAAAAGGGAGAGGCAATTTGGTGCGGAGATGGCAGATTTGACTCCATGGGACACTCTGCAAAATATGGAGCGTACACAATGTTCTGTTGTGCAGTTGCTAAGATTGTACATTTTGAGCTGGTTCAGGTATATTTTCATCTATATCTACAAATATAGATAAGAAAAACAACCAACCTGTCTTCCTGGCCCCTATAAAAATAAAAATCTGGTATTTCTTGACACCTAGATCCATGTGTGACGGACCACATAAGACTCGTTAATAGCCTGATTAAAACTTTTGCTGAATGGGAAAATCTGCCACTACTACACAAAAATTGTAGGAAATATTATCTTTGAGTGATAAATGTATATTTTTTTAATGTTAGGCAAACCAAGTAAAGAGCAGCAGTGACATGGAGTTAAAGGGTGCCCAAGACAGTTTTGCCTTCCTAAAAGCAGCAGGGTTAAAAATTCATGTGTTCATATCAGACAGGCACCGTTCAATTGCCAAATGGATTAGGGAGCATGAGCCAGCAACCAGACACTTTTTTGATATCTGGCATGTTGCCAAATCAGTAACAAAGAAGTTACTTCAAGTTGGAAAAGAAAGTGGCTGTGAACTCCTTGTGAAGTGGCAAAAGGCCATAAAGAATCATTTGCATTGGTGTGCTACTTCCACCAAGCTTGGATTTGGTGAGCTGATTTTAGCAAAGTGGAAGTCCATTATTAGGCATGTTTGTAATAAACATACTCAACACCCTGAGCCTCTGTTTAAACAGTGTGTCCATGGACCTCTATCAAGACGATATTGGCTAAAAAAAGGTGAGTTTTTGTTGGAACACATTTTCAAGCAGTTCCAACCACCAGTTAATTTAACTCTTTAAAGCTGGTAATATGTATCACCTGTGTCAGTTCAGTTTATTTCAACAAGGTGGTTTATAAATGTGTTTTAAAGGTGTTTTAGTTTGAAAATGCTCCCTACCCCTCTTAGAGTCCAAGTCTAGGTCTTGAATTGCTTTTTTAATCCTTGGCTTTAGAGGATTCTTTTTATGTTTAGAATTTTTGATGACCTGTTTGTAAAGGGTGTAAAAAATTTCCTGAAACAAAAATTAATAATACATGTCAGAAGCAACCTTTTTGTCTAAAAAAAAAAGAGAAACTAATGTATTGGTTAATGTATTTCAGGCACAAATGTCTATAACAAGATGAAACAAATTTTGATGAATACAAGGCTCCTTAATGATATAAAAAAAAGTTGTCTAGTGAGGACCAAACAAGTTGCTTGGAGGGTTTTCACTCTACGCTGAATCAGTTCCATCCTAAGATGATATGTTTCTCATGGCTTGGCACATACTGCAGGTAGGGTGTGTAAATTGTTATATTGGACGTCAGAGGTGGATGTCATCTACCAACACTAGAGAATTTTTTTACAAGAGGAATCTTTTCTAACCATACCCCCTTAATAATTGCTCCAAACATTTCGTCCAAAACAAAAACTAAATCATTAGCTTAGGTGAAAGTGGCTGACAAGTCAGTTAAATCAAACCTTTATTGTTGTGTTTTTGCTTTAGGCACATCTTAGCCAGTCTGCATTTCAATGAGAATTTGTTGAGGGAACCGCAAAAGACAAAAGACGGAAAGGAGTACCTTTTAGTGACATACCCTAAATACAAGTTTGGAGAAGAAGTTGTGCGAGAAATCAGAGTCCCTCCTACATACAGTAAGTATGGTTATTTTTTAGAACTTTCAGTGTAGCCATAGTGGTGGTTCCCAACCATGATTTATGGAAGATGAATGGCTCTTACAGGGTCCTACCAATAGTTCAAGGGAAAAAAATGCAGGGGTGGGTGTCTGGCTGTTACACAGAAAAACCTAGCAGAAAAATTATGGGGAAATGGTGGAGGACTGAAAACCCAGTTTACCACTTCTGTGGGCATTAAGCACTTTCCTAACAGTCCCCCTCTTTTACCAGAATATGTGGATGAGGTGGGAGAACTGGTGTTCAGCATGCGCCTGGCTGAGAGGAATGCTATCCTCTTGAAATACAAAACAAAAACCCCAGCACCTTTGAACTCACAGTTCACCGAGAGACGAAGTAGAGCAGAGGCAGTGGAAAACTACAATAAGAGAAAACAGAAAGAAACAGCGGCATACCCTTCAGGTGAGGTTATGTGATTAATTACTAGAAAAAATATTATCCACTCAAGTTTCTTGAATAAGGCTTGTAAGGCCAGTTTTTATAATTATTGTACATTGTAGTCACCATCTGTCTTCTCATTGGCTAAAAGCCCACAGTTAATTCTGGGAAACAGTGCAACCTACAGATGATTCACTAATCTGTACCTACAGATTAGTGAATAATCTGTAGGTTGCACTCGCAATGCATGATTTCCAAGAGCAATGTCAAGTGCACGGAGAGCAATGTCAAGTTCGCGGACAGCGAAGTAAGAATGGCTTCTCGATTCGCTTCATTGATCCAGCAAGAAATTGAGAAATTACTTGAAGATAAAGGATAATAAAACAATTATTAGATTCGGTTTTTGTGATATCCGAATATCACAAAAACCTCATCCAATAATTGTTTATAAACTGTATGTAACTAATGGTTTTACTATTTGTCATTACCTTTATTATAATAAATATATGCTCCTCCTGCCCACAACAATTCCACAAGATGTGTGTGTGCTCTCTCTATATTTACTTTTAATGAATGGTTTTGCTTGCAGTTGAAGTTCAAGATGTACTTCAGGCATCATGCATTAGTGCTGACCAGCAGCCTGTCAGGAAGAAGCGAAAGGCTCCAGTGTGTAGAAAGTGCAAGAAGCCGATGAAAAACCACTCCAGAGTTGGCTGCGCTGGTGCCAGTAACACTTAAGGCATTTACACTAGTGTGTGTACAAAATATTGCATATCAAAAGGAACTTTTGACAATAAATCTTAAAGAATAGTTTATCACTCAACAAAAATGGCAGACAGAATAGTTTTACTACATACCAATGACAAATAGGACTCTTCCAGTATAGCTTAATTCTTTTATTATTAATTTTTCTCTTTCACAATATTACAGGATGGTGTAGAGCTATTGCCAAAATATGCCCCAACCTGTATTTTTTCACCATTTTGTTGACTAAGATGAAAATCTAGGGTGATGTTATTGCTCGGGATTAGCTGAACTTACTGCATTAAAACTCCTAATGGGCACCCAGTGAACTCTTACAGATTGTTTAAAGCTGCCTATTTTGATGCCACCCATTGCCATAGCATGTTTGCTGAATCAGATTGTCCATTTGACATAATAAAGTTAGGCAGAAAATAAGCCCATGGCCTAATAAGTTAGTGAAATGTTGCCAAACAATACAAGGCTTGTCTTGAAAGTATACTGTCATAATAATAATAATGATAATATTTACTGTGACACTGAGAAAACAGAGATCAATAGAAACATTTCTGGTATGTGGAAAACTAAACCGGCCGAAACAGCAGTAATTGGTTCAAGGCTTTGAGGCTTGCTCGCATGTCCTGACCTTTGTTGTGACTGGTCACAACATACAATAAACATTTCTGAAGTCAAGTGTTCAAGTGTTCACAGTGTTTTCTGAGTTTGAGAGTAAATTAAGATCAAGAAGTGTGAATCATTTAGGTCATAGCTTTTATAAAGTTGGTGGCTCCTAAAAGAGCCGTTGTTTGTGTGCTCACATGAGCTATCTTGCACTGGCTTCACCTTGCCTACGTTCTGCGGAACTGTAACCTCTGGTGGAGGCAGTCTGGAACTTTTGCCTGATTTTGTGGTAGACACATGCTGGAAGTGGTCTACTGTTATTCCATCCAAGGGGTCCAAATATCCATCGCACTAAAAAGCGGTATGCAGTGGCACGATAGCTCCTGGGGGAAAAATATTTATTACATATTTATAACAAAAAGCACTTTTCTATGGCTTGCTCTAAAATCCTACATTATCACTAACCAAAAATATTGCTTTATGTTAACTTTAGCTACGCATCATCACACCATTCACTCATGTAACAGTCTTATTATTTTATTCTGACTGACATGTCAGTTGCATTTTTCTTAATTCCTCTGAAGAGATTTCACACCTGCAAACATTGCAGACTGTAGTTTAACGAGGGATAACTCTTCGTCACGCTAAATAGTGGAAGATTCCTTATAAATTCCTTTGTAGGTTTTATTTTTTTTTTTTTTCGATTCTGACAGTTCACCATCCAGCAGCTGCATCCAGACATCAACTCAGGTTAAACATAGAGTGAATGTGGTAAGAATGAACTTAGGTGCTATTGAACAGAAGCACAAATACTTACTCATTCTTAGCATTTTGAGTTCCTCGGCTAGGAAATTTGTAGCTGCGACCCTTCCTGTCCTTCAAAAGAGGGCAAACTTGCTCGAGTACAGTCGCATTTGTTAGCGCGTCGAAGTCTGTGTGGTCGAGAACGCAACTTCCTTCTATTCCCTCAAAGGTAAGTTTTGCCATGGCTGCGGCGACCTCCTTGCAACAACGGAACTCCAAGGCATTGGACAAAAGTTCAGTACTGCAGTTTCCGCATTCACACCTACAAAATTTAGCAGAATTTAGAAGAAAAACACGTAAGTTACTATAGTTACTTAGTGTACAACAAACCGTAAACAAAGAGGACTTCATGCATATAACAATTATTGTTGTATGCATGAAGATCGTAGAAAACTAAATTCGCTCGGCCTGAAGTGTTATCGTTACATATCTTACTTACCATGTATCAAGGGTTATCTGATTTTCAGATCTAGCCTCTAATATAGCCGGAGTTAAACCGTCTTCGTCTTCTTCTTCCTCGGGCTCTTCATAGTCTTCCGGGGCAATAGGCTCGAAACGATATGGCTCCACGAGGCCGCCAACTACGCCAAAATCGTCCTCGATTTCGCTCTCCACTTCTTCCGAAACACTCCTAGAGCTTGTGTTCGAATCTGAATCGTCTGAAGTAGACATTTTCCAAATGTAGACCGTAAAAAAAAACTAGAAGTTTACAGTGCGAACTCAACAGTGGATTATATCAGCAATGGCAACCTTTCGCTTTGCGACTCAACCATGTGACGTCAATAGTGTGGTTATCCGCTGACTAGTTCGCAGACTCCGTTTTCAGATTTCGTCCCTCTTTGGTATCACACTTCAAGCGCCGATCACGGCAACTTCTTGGACGTAAAGTAGCATTATTTTTAGTTATTAGTGACCTTCTTGGAATGAAAAAGTATTTTAAGTAAAAAAAAGCCACTTTGAATTTTCGTTTCAGTAGCACTTTAAGTTAGATGCAAGGATTGTCATCACGAAGACCGGTTTCAAATGATTTTACAAAGGTTTTCTGAATCAGGGAGGCACCGTAATTGAACTCGCAATCTGACTCCTTACTTGCAAAATTCACCTTGTTACGCAAGTCCAGCGCACGGAGAAGGAACTGTTGTGGGGATTCACCACTACTGTGTTGGCACACGGTGGCCAATTGCTGATACACCTCTGAGGCTGTTTTCTCTCTATAATGGACACGAAGGATCCTTCGTAGCTTAGCTAGTGAGAGGTCACTTAGAGTCTCAACATAGCTCCGAAGACTACTGTGTGGAGATATGGCACGTATCACTGCATCCACAATTTCATTTTCTTGGTAATCACGTTTTAGCCCTGAGTCTATTTGATGCATTAAGGAAACAAAAGTTAGTTTCTCTGTTTGCCCTGGTTTGCCGATCTGACCAGAAATCTTAAATTCGCGCCGTAGCAAAGATGAACTCGACTTTGTTTTCGCTAACTGACTCAATATATCTTCCACTCCCTTTTCTTGTTTAGGTCCTCCGTCAGAAGATTGTTTCTCCGTTTTTACTCCTGAAGCTGCTGGTTTTTGCTCTACCTCTTCGAGGGGCGGTACATTGCCGGTGACAAAAGCAAGTAGCTGTTCGAGGCACGCTCGTGCTTCCTTTTCATCGCCCGCCATTTTGCTGTCGATGGTTTTCGTAATAATTTTGATTCTCTGCATCTTACTTTTACCCGCAAGGTCATCGTCGATTCCCAATAGTCCTATCATTTCAGCCAAACCCTTCTCATCTTGTTCGAACAATCGAGACTCTACTTGGAGTTGTAATTGTTCCATAATTAATTCTAACCGCGAAAGCTTATTTCCAAACTGAACACAAGTAACCTAGCGCAAACGCTGTAATTCCGGTGACAGTGAGCCGACAGAACAAATCAACTCGCCCACTTCGCCGAACACAAAACAACTAGCGAATGTACTCCACCGTCACAGAGCCCCAATATTGTAAAGTCCTACTGTACGCGTCTGACTGTTTTCGGTCGCCGCTTGTCTCCTCAACTGCAAATCCACGTGTTCATACCGCTCCACTCACAATCTCCTTAGCTCCAATTCTGACCATTTCTGCTTCCCTTGACAACAAATAACGTCCCACGGGCTTGAGAATCGAAGTTCGTCCTGGCAGGGTCGCCAAAATGTTACCCTTGTTTCATGAGTCCACAAATAAACCGTAAAACGTCTTTACACTTCACATGCTTCACATGTTTATTTTGTTTCTTTTTCTCTCGTCACTCGTTCAGCTCGCGCTCTCTTTTCTGATAACCCGGATGAATACGTCATACACAAGACTCGTTTCCGCTTCCGGTTGTTTTGTTTTTAGTACAATCTCTACATGTACCACTTTCAATGTTGGAAAAGGATAAAGTTGAAAAAGGTCAGGACATGTACAGTCCTGACTTGTACGATGGCAATTATGCGAAGTGCAAAACCCCTTCCTCCATTTCTGCAGCTGATATGTACTGCTACTGCAGCCAACGACTGCACAAATCCTCATTTCCTTATGTAAAAATCCTTGTGCCTGCATTTTTCTTTCGCAAAACACGGTGATCGTTGAAAAACTTAACTTGAACAAATCGAAGCAACTTTTATCCCGACTCGTTCCAAGTCGCACCCAATCTTGTGATCGACCACTGGAACTCCGAACTCGCTTATTCAAATGTTATTTTTGTATGACTGCTTTCTCTTACAGTATAACTTTTTAAGAAACAGACAGTAGTTAGACTGTAAAACATCTGCATACATCTCTTTATATCTCTTTCCTCAACAATTTTTTTTAGTGGAGGTGATTATTAATGAGGATGGGGAAATAATTATGTTATAAGTAGAGGATTTTGTGTATTTGCCATTCTTTTTTTACCTGGAATGAAGCGGTCAATGTGTAAATGGAATGACTCCTTAGGCACAGTTGTAGATGGTAGCTCAATGTACCAGTCTTGGTGTACAACTGAATGGCAGGGTCATCTACCTTCTGTATACATGGAATGTGTTGTTTCTGCTCTTCCTATATCTGCTGAATTGATGAGTGACTTTCGTCTTTGGCAATTTTACATATACATAAACACAAATATGTTAATGATGATCATGACATTGCTAAAATTTAATGTGCACCACAAAAAGGATGGCGCCTCACCTTGTGCTTGTAACCATGGTTGTAAACATTCCAGTACCAGCTGAAAGAAGAACGTTTTAACCGTTTGCAGCCAAAATTAATTTGGAATTTTATAAGGTTTAAAATGAAAAAGAAGAAGAGCTGTAAAATAGTCAGGTTTACCACCACACTTCTAGAA